TTAGAAATCTTTGTCATTATTGAAAGTTATAGTCTAATTTCCCTCTCTTTACCTTTTATTATTTCAGTCTCTCCCAATCCTATATCGTTAGGGTGAATCAAAGTGAAAATCCACTTACCAATTCGCCATAATAATATTTTATTAAAGATTTATTAAAGAATTATCTAAAATAAATAATAATAATATTTATATGATTAACTAAAATATAATTTAATTTTAAAGTATAATTTAATAAAAATATATAATAAATAATTTATTAATAAGATAAAATAATAAATCTTTAATAAAGATTTATTCTATTAAAAATATTCTTTAATATTTAACTAATAATTTATGAATTCAATTCTATTATTTTACTAGCTAAAATATATTACTTTTATATATTTAGAGATTTTATAAATGATACTTTAACTATAATACTTATATTACTTTTGCTATATTCTAAATACTAATTTAGTTGATATTATAATACTGATTTTGTTATGATAGTATTGCTAGTTTAGCTATAATAGTTTTGTTAATTTTGCTATGATAATTTTGTTATGATCTTTATGCTTATAAAATCTTCTATAAATATCTGTGAATAATATTCTCTTAAACTAAGATATAACTAATTAATTATTCAATCTTATTGTGGTATGAATCAACCAGTAATAAATGATAAATAAAAGTTCTTTTTGCACCGGACCATATCACTAAATATATCACGTGAATGATCTAAAAAGTAGAGACTTGAGACAGGACTAAAATCACCAATTTCACATCATAAGGGTTCAGAACCCATGTAACATAAAGCCGAGTTTATATCTTGCTGCAAGAAAAAGTTAACCATAAAATGAGTATTCTTTAGAATATTAATATTTCACAGAAACTTTCGCATTTGAAAAATAAGATTGATAAGCTACACGTAATTAGGGTTTTGTAATCTGCACAAGCTATTTGAATCGAGGTGTTCAAATAAATAATCGTGATGAATCGTTCAAACATATTCGTTTATTCAATAAATAGTATTAGGTTGACAGAGATAATTCTAACGTTTTCTGTAGAATCGCTCGACTGCTTTTCTTCCACTTTTAATATCTTCCAAACTCAAATTCCGAAATGTTCATAAAAGTTCATAAAAAATTTGAATAGAATGTCAAATCGTAAAATGGCTTCTCGTCTAAGAAAGTTTTGCTCTGTGTATGAACTCGACCGGCTGAAAAATAATCAAATCAATCAAAAACTATTAACTGATCCATCTAAAAATACATGATCGTTTGATCATTTTTTCTTTCGATATAATGTGCGCCTGGCAACTTTTACTACTGTATCAGTTGTAGGAAATGCCAAACCCTCCAAATTAAAAGCATATGGGGTCGGAACATCTATTAAAATACAAATGTCAACACAAGTATATCATATAAATAAGGAATTTTCCAACTGAGACAATAGAACAATTAGAAGAGGAAATAATTATTACACACCGGCACCAGTAATTCGCTCCACAGGCGCATCCAAATAATCAAATGCTTCCGATTCCATGATCAATGCACAAATCTCACTTCCCACACCAAACTGTGGGAACCCGCTTTCAACAGACACTAAATGATTCGTCTTCTTCACCGAAGCGATTATTGTCTCAACATCAAGGGGTCTAATCGAACGAAGATTTATTATTTCTGCGGATATGCCATCCTCTGCTTGTAACTTTTCTGCTGCTTCTACGCAGAGATTTAGCGGTCGCGAATGTGAAACTAACGTCACATCCTTACCTTCGCGAATAATTTTTGCTTTTCCAATTGGTAATTGGAAATCTTTTGATAAAGCTTCAGCAGAGACTGGAAATGAGACACCGTATTGCAGTTCGTTCTCAAGAAAAATGACAGGATTCGGATCACGTATCGCAGCCTGAAAAATTATTAGATTATGTAATTATGGGAAATGAGGAAAGAATAAAGTGTCAATAGAAATTAGAATACCTTTAACAACCCTCTAGCATCTTCGCTATCCCATGGGGAAATAACTTTTAGTCCGGGTATAGCTCCATACCAAGCAGCGTAATCTTGTGAATGTTGAGCGGCTACACTAGCAGCATATCCATTCGGACCACGAAACACTATCGGGCATGTTACCGTTCCACCAGTCATATAATGAGTCTTTGCCGCAGAATTTATTATTTGATCAATTGCCTTTATTGGATGAAAACAAAAACAAGTGTTAGATTTTTTGATCATTATTTAAAATTTCGGACTCTTTTTTGAGAATAACTTACTTGCATTGCAAAATTGAACGTCATGAATTCACAGATTGGCCTTAGTCCAGAGAGTGCAGCACCAACTGCCAACCCTGCGAATCCAGCTTCTGTTATAGGAGTATCAATTACACGTTTAGGGCCAAATTTATCCAAGAGACCTTTCGATATCTGATGTCAGGTATCGAAAATTAAAATATATAAGAATCTGCTGAAAATGTTTCAAATAGTAAAAGAAATTACAAAAAACCTTATAGGCCCCATTATATTGACCAACTTCTTCACCCAATAAAAAAACCCGCTCATCAGCCGTCAACTCTTCTTCAAGTGCTAGATTTAAAGCATCTCGTACAGTCATCTAGCATATGTAATTTTGTCAAAAAGTGTATAATTAGATTGTACATAGAACGGAATAGAGAATTCAAGACGCAAAATCACAATTCTTTTTTTCGTGATAAATAAAAAGACTAATATTAGCATGTATTCAATCAATTATAAAAAATATAATTAAATTACAATCTAATCAACGCGAATTCTAACATTATTATAGTTGTCTGCATTAAAAATACGAAAAGAAATGAAAAAACACACCGTTTCCCCAGCAGAAGCACTGTACTGACGTCTCTGTAGCCCAGCTAAACTCTTTAAACCTGCAACACCACCAGCAAAGGCAAGCGAACTTCTAACACCATTAACTCGTGTATTTCCTTTTCCTAGTGTTGACGAAGATAAACCAACAACTCGTCCAACACCGACATTTCCAAACACTTTCCGAAGTAAATTCCCATTCATTATAATTAGATATAATTAGAACTTTATTTCCTTATAAGCGATTAATATTAAATGTTTTGATTGATATATCACACGTAATTCGCGTGATTTTATGTCCGTGCAACTTGAATTAACAAATTAACCGAATTATAATAATTAATGATGTGAATGGCTCATGATTAAGAAATCTATAATATCGAGTCAAAGTTACCACTGATTTGACAAAGATAAGAGATAGACTACTGTAAGTGCGGAGGATGTTTAATAAAAGACTACATCATACGTGGAATTTACCTTAAATGTTAAGGAAGTTCATGCACATTGGCGAAAGTTGATTTAACTAGAAATATGTTTCGGTGAGATAAATGCAGAAAATTATCTCATATTCCCTTTGAATAACTCTAATCGTAATCAAAAAAAGATTAAAGCTCCAATCTGAAATCAGCCGTGCGGTACACATGTGCCTGTATCGCATGGTCTTTTTTATCTATGTAAATGGCGATCAAACAATTAATTTTGCTTTCTTTGCCAGTTTCAGGATTCCTCATCTGGGCCGAATAGATTAGTTTAAAATTAAATAATACCTCTCCCGTTTCTTTCTCCCACCAAAAGCCTCATTCACACGCCCACACTTATCGTTAATAATCAATTTCCCGGTGGTTTTTTTTTTTAACAAATATATATACAAATATATATATATAGCTATTCAAAATTTTATTAAAGAAAATCTCGAATATGATAGTAATGTTTCAAAATAATATTAAAACAAACAAAAATAGTAATAGGCTATAAAACAGCTAATATCAACTATTTGTTTCAAGATCATTAGGAAAAGAAAGTTCAACAACATTCGAAAATAAACTGACAACCCCCGTAATAACAAGTAAAATGATGCCAAGACTGGCTGAATAAAGAAATTTCATATATTCTTCCATCATCTTATTGTCACCGGAGAGTCGTCACGACACCTAACCAATCAATAATTCGAAAAAAAAGGAGAGAAAAATTTGTACAAAGAATGTGGTGGTTTTTTTAATTCAGGATGAAGGGTGGGGTAAAGGGAAAGTTAATAAAAGAATGTCTATTAGATTTATACAAAATTAGGGTAATAAGTAAAATACAGATATTATTGATTGTTAATATGCCACACACTTACACAAACAACTTTATAATTACATAAAATGTCTAGATGAGGATGATGACGATCTAGAAGATCAACTGTATAACCAAAAAGAAAGACAAAAGATGGATGGAAAGTGTTTGTGAAATAGTGTGTATTCATGTTAAAGGGTTTGTTTTGAATATATCAAATATATCATATAATGATTATGATGATTATGATTATTACCACCACCCTATTGTCAATAAATAACGTATACACACAAACCCCATAAGAAGAAATGATAATGACCAGGGAAAGAGATCACAAACAAAAAATGTTCGTTTTAGCCGATAAAAGAAAAAAATATACATAATAAGAAAGAAGAAGAAGAATAGTCAAAGCTCAATTTGCAAAGCTAATCATCATCCAAGGATGCCCAATATCCAGCATGGGAAGCTTCCAAATTGACTTGACTAAGACGATGCGACGATGTCATTGTCATTGTGCTCGTCGCGCTTGATTTCGATCTTGAATGATAGACAGAAGCCGGCGCACTAATCGTTTGATTTTGTCGCGAGGGTTCATACACATACCCGCTGCTTTCACTTATTCTATTTGGTTCGACTTCTATTGAATTTTTACTGAGGTTTTTGTTTTTGTAATTGCTGTTAGAAGAGGATTTTTGCTTGCCCTGTTTGTAGTCGTCACATAAATTTTGTTTATCATTGATCGTGGAAGAAACTCGATGATTAATTGGCCAAAGAATCAGTAGAAAATAGCCTTTTGTTGAAATGACATGTGCTATGAGATTCTTGTGGAAGACGGCGTATAAAATTAATTCCAAAACGGACATCAAAGTTAATATATTCATGGTGACAATGAGGATGCGCATTACTCGATACGCTTGTGGGTCAAATGTTTCTTTGCCCTATAACAATCAATCAAATATTTATTTTCTTGCACAAATATTAAGGAAATGAAATATTAACTTCCTTTTCTTGCTTACTTGAAAAAATCCATAAGCGAACACAGAAGCTAGTAAAAAGTCCAATCCTGCAGACAATGACAAATAAACCAAAGTTCTACAGAAGAATCATCATTAAAATATTAGCAACCGTTTTCATATTACCACAATAGATCATGATTGTATTGACAATACTCACGGGATGTAGTCGTCTGTAGAGTTTGCCGAAACAATGACACACGCAATTCCACTCATAAAAGTCAAGCACGCAACCGTAAAAACTCCGACTAAAAATAGCAGTCGTTGATTATTGCATGCAAGATATGCTTGGAATCCAAGAAAAACTTGTGCCAGTAATGTTATTAGGCCGCTGGTTATCATTAAGGCGAGTGTCCATTCTTTATCCCGAAAGAGTGCGAGTATTAAAAAAATTGTTGATGCTACAGATATTATTAGATGGTGAGAAGCCATTAGTGATAAGGTGTGGTAATCGCCGGGATGGCCGTTTTTATCATAATTTTTATTTACCAAATTCCAGAGCAAAATTCGACCAAATAAAAGATTTTAGCAAAAGACGGTCTTCTTTGTAACGACGCACATACGCTACAAGTTGGTAGAAAAGGATCAAAAGTAATGAGAGATCGCAGACAATACAAGTTATTTTTTCAGCTTCCTTTATTTTCAAAGAATGAAATATTGTTAGAAATTAAAAAAAAAAATCGAATATAACATGAGATTCTCCTTTGCGTACCTCTTCCCCAGTCATTATGCTGGTATTTGTTGCGTTATCACTCTGAAGACCGTCAAACGCAGATATTTGCAGTAGGAAAGAAATAAACTACAACGACGACAACGACGACGACCCAGCGAACGACTGTTGTCTGACGCCAAAACTTTAAACTTTGGGAACTAATAATTAGAATTTGTACACGGATTGTTCTTGTAGTTGTTATTATTAACACTATTATTTCGTCAGTGCTAAAATAATATTTGGTCTTGGACTAAGTACTTTTGTTCGGATTGTCGATGTTGTATTTCTTGAATTTTACACAGTGTGTTTGTGTGTCTGTGCGTCCGTGCTTCCGCGTTCCCGCGTGTTTGGTTGTAGAAGATAAAAATGATATGAATACTAAAATGGATATTTTTTAATTATCGTGTTGCTTCTTTAATATTTAAAATTAATACACGAAAACTGATTAAATTTATTAAATTTAACACCAACAAAACATTATTTTTTTGCGTATCGTATCGTTTCGTTTCGTTTATTATACAGTTAGATGCACTTATTTATCGGTATGACCCACTTTTTCATTCAATAAATCTAAACAAACCCAAACAACGTAACAAAAGCATCCTAACTTTTCTCGGGTTTTTCTATGGCGGTAGTTTGACTGATAATACTCACGATTATGTAATACGGTATATATATATGTACAATTATAACAATAAGCCCTTCTTCACAAATAGTAAATAAGTGCCGGTGTTGTGTTCCACTCTGACTCCTTTTCTAATGGATGCGAGATTTTCGTTTCGTCATCATTTTAGAAGATCAGAAAACCCCTTCTTAATGTTCTTATGTGTCACATCCTTTGGTTTATCCTATCAAAAGGTGTGATGGCGGCCGAAAAACACGATGTGAAGAATAACTTGAAAGGGAGTGATTTGGATGAATTTAAGGTGATCCATTATTCCATTCCAATTAACTGCTATGGATGTCAAGAAGAGCGAACAGTGCATTATCTCTCGTTTTTTAGAGAAGAAATGTGTGACAAAACAAACAATTTGTAATTTTATGTGAAGGATTATGATTGTTAATTAATGTACATTCTTGGAGAAAAATTATTATTTATTTTTCCAGTTGTTACACCATGTTTTGCGCCAAATGTGAAATGATTTGCTTTTTAAACAATCTGTCATACGTTTTGACCTTTTTAATCGTTTATGCCGAAATTTTCATAACGATAATCTTTAAAATGAGAAGGGTTTCTACCATCTGATTAAGTAAATTTAAAATCTTTGAATCAGAGGTATCAACATAAAAAAGAACGAAACAAAAAAGACCTTACATGTACGATTCTTTCTAACTTGCTGTATATAGTATTTCTTCGCTCCACCATGTTTGATAATCCAAAAGTTTTGGTCCACGTTTTTTTTAACTTATTTTGTGATACAAATATTTGTAATCACGCCTTGAATACGAGAATTGGGTTTTGCTAAAATGGACGAATATACTTGTACTAAATTTGTTTTAGTATACTGATTTTGTTATGATAGTATTGCTAGTTTAGCTATAATAGTTTTGTTAATTTTGCTATGATAATTTTGTTATGATCTTTATGCTTATAAAATCTTCTATAAATATCTGTGAATAATATTCTCTTAAACTAAGATATAACTAATTAATTATTCAATCTTATTGTGGTATGAATCAACCAGTAATAAATGATAAATAAAAGTTCTTTTTGCACCGGACCATATCACTAAATATATCACGTGAATGATCTAAAAAGTAGAGACTTGAGACAGGACTAAAATCACCAATTTCACATCATAAGGGTTCAGAACCCATGTAACATAAAGCCGAGTTTATATCTTGCTGCAAGAAAAAGTTAACCATAAAATGAGTATTCTTTAGAATATTAATATTTCACAGAAACTTTCGCATTTGAAAAATAAGATTGATAAGCTACACGTAATTAGGGTTTTGTAATCTGCACAAGCTATTTGAATCGAGGTGTTCAAATAAATAATCGTGATGAATCGTTCAAACATATTCGTTTATTCAATAAATAGTATTAGGTTGACAGAGATAATTCTAACGTTTTCTGTAGAATCGCTCGACTGCTTTTCTTCCACTTTTAATATCTTCCAAACTCAAATTCCGAAATGTTCATAAAAGTTCATAAAAAATTTGAATAGAATGTCAAATCGTAAAATGGCTTCTCGTCTAAGAAAGTTTTGCTCTGTGTATGAACTCGACCGGCTGAAAAATAATCAAATCAATCAAAAACTATTAACTGATCCATCTAAAAATACATGATCGTTTGATCATTTTTTCTTTCGATATAATGTGCGCCTGGCAACTTTTACTACTGTATCAGTTGTAGGAAATGCCAAACCCTCCAAATTAAAAGCATATGGGGTCGGAACATCTATTAAAATACAAATGTCAACACAAGTATATCATATAAATAAGGAATTTTCCAACTGAGACAATAGAACAATTAGAAGAGGAAATAATTATTACACACCGGCACCAGTAATTCGCTCCACAGGCGCATCCAAATAATCAAATGCTTCCGATTCCATGATCAATGCACAAATCTCACTTCCCACACCAAACTGTGGGAACCCGCTTTCAACAGACACTAAATGATTCGTCTTCTTCACCGAAGCGATTATTGTCTCAACATCAAGGGGTCTAATCGAACGAAGATTTATTATTTCTGCGGATATGCCATCCTCTGCTTGTAACTTTTCTGCTGCTTCTACGCAGAGATTTAGCGGTCGCGAATGTGAAACTAACGTCACATCCTTACCTTCGCGAATAATTTTTGCTTTTCCAATTGGTAATTGGAAATCTTTTGATAAAGCTTCAGCAGAGACTGGAAATGAGACACCGTATTGCAGTTCGTTCTCAAGAAAAATGACAGGATTCGGATCACGTATCGCAGCCTGAAAAATTATTAGATTATGTAATTATGGGAAATGAGGAAAGAATAAAGTGTCAATAGAAATTAGAATACCTTTAACAACCCTCTAGCATCTTCGCTATCCCATGGGGAAATAACTTTTAGTCCGGGTATAGCTCCATACCAAGCAGCGTAATCTTGTGAATGTTGAGCGGCTACACTAGCAGCATATCCATTCGGACCACGAAACACTATCGGGCATGTTACCGTTCCACCAGTCATATAATGAGTCTTTGCCGCAGAATTTATTATTTGATCAATTGCCTTTATTGGATGAAAACAAAAACAAGTGTTAGATTTTTTGATCATTATTTAAAATTTCGGACTCTTTTTTGAGAATAACTTACTTGCATTGCAAAATTGAACGTCATGAATTCACAGATTGGCCTTAGTCCAGAGAGTGCAGCACCAACTGCCAACCCTGCGAATCCAGCTTCTGTTATAGGAGTATCAATTACACGTTTAGGGCCAAATTTATCCAAGAGACCTTTCGATATCTGATGTCAGGTATCGAAAATTAAAATATATAAGAATCTGCTGAAAATGTTTCAAATAGTAAAAGAAATTACAAAAAACCTTATAGGCCCCATTATATTGACCAACTTCTTCACCCAATAAAAAAACCCGCTCATCAGCCGTCAACTCTTCTTCAAGTGCTAGATTTAAAGCATCTCGTACAGTCATCTAGCATATGTAATTTTGTCAAAAAGTGTATAATTAGATTGTACATAGAACGGAATAGAGAATTCAAGACGCAAAATCACAATTCTTTTTTTCGTGATAAATAAAAAGACTAATATTAGCATGTATTCAATCAATTATAAAAAATATAATTAAATTACAATCTAATCAACGCGAATTCTAACATTATTATAGTTGTCTGCATTAAAAATACGAAAAGAAATGAAAAAACACACCGTTTCCCCAGCAGAAGCACTGTACTGACGTCTCTGTAGCCCAGCTAAACTCTTTAAACCTGCAACACCACCAGCAAAGGCAAGCGAACTTCTAACACCATTAACTCGTGTATTTCCTTTTCCTAGTGTTGACGAAGATAAACCAACAACTCGTCCAACACCGACATTTCCAAACACTTTCCGAAGTAAATTCCCATTCATTATAATTAGATATAATTAGAACTTTATTTCCTTATAAGCGATTAATATTAAATGTTTTGATTGATATATCACACGTAATTCGCGTGATTTTATGTCCGTGCAACTTGAATTAACAAATTAACCGAATTATAATAATTAATGATGTGAATGGCTCATGATTAAGAAATCTATAATATCGAGTCAAAGTTACCACTGATTTGACAAAGATAAGAGATAGACTACTGTAAGTGCGGAGGATGTTTAATAAAAGACTACATCATACGTGGAATTTACCTTAAATGTTAAGGAAGTTCATGCACATTGGCGAAAGTTGATTTAACTAGAAATATGTTTCGGTGAGATAAATGCAGAAAATTATCTCATATTCCCTTTGAATAACTCTAATCGTAATCAAAAAAAGATTAAAGCTCCAATCTGAAATCAGCCGTGCGGTACACATGTGCCTGTATCGCATGGTCTTTTTTATCTATGTAAATGGCGATCAAACAATTAATTTTGCTTTCTTTGCCAGTTTCAGGATTCCTCATCTGGGCCGAATAGATTAGTTTAAAATTAAATAATACCTCTCCCGTTTCTTTCTCCCACCAAAAGCCTCATTCACACGCCCACACTTATCGTTAATAATCAATTTCCCGGTGGTTTTTTTTTTTAACAAATATATATACAAATATATATATATAGCTATTCAAAATTTTATTAAAGAAAATCTCGAATATGATAGTAATGTTTCAAAATAATATTAAAACAAACAAAAATAGTAATAGGCTATAAAACAGCTAATATCAACTATTTGTTTCAAGATCATTAGGAAAAGAAAGTTCAACAACATTCGAAAATAAACTGACAACCCCCGTAATAACAAGTAAAATGATGCCAAGACTGGCTGAATAAAGAAATTTCATATATTCTTCCATCATCTTATTGTCACCGGAGAGTCGTCACGACACCTAACCAAT